TCTTATAGAAAAACTAAGCTAACATCAGCCATCCCGATACAGCGTCATGATAGATATTCTGTAACAAAATACTGACACAGGATGTGAACTGTTTGTATAGGTATTTATTATTGTTTGAACAGTTCAGTGGTATAGACTAGGCTTGTACTGAGCACATCATAGACATGTAGTATGTATACAAGGATTTTGTTAAAGGTTTTTTAAATGTAATTGTCTGGTATATCTTCTCTTGAAAACACTCTTTTCCATTTTTTCTGAAAATTGTATTCGCAATACCCAATAAATTTTAAAAAAGGGCCTTTTCAACTTCATAAAAAAATTCAATGTATGTGGTTCCAATGGACTACTTCACATTGATACATCAAAGTTAGATATTTGATCTGAAAATAAGATGCATCGCCAACCGTAACTATTCAAGATAAATAGTTTCTCTAAAAGCAACTCACGAGCACGTCCCTCTACTCTATTCTCAAACATATTGTTCTCGGGAATAAAATAATGCACGCAAAATAAATACTCAACACAATATATCAGCCTTCTAAAACAACGCATAAAACAAGGTATAAGATTTTCAGGTTTCCATATGGATTGTGGTTGTTCTTCGGATATAAAAAAATAATTGTTTTCAGGAAATATGAGCAGAGTAAATAATCACAATCGGAGTAAGAAGATATTAAATCCTTCAAAATAATCTTTAAGAGAGCGTAGCATAATAAGTGTATGTAGGTAAAGGTATTTATAAGAAGTTTTTCACCAACTGAAAGATATTCGCCATTCTAAATCCTCATTTGGTGATCCTTTAACTCCGATTGGTACAAAAAGTACTCCGTGTTCTGTTATACTTTGTTTCGTCTTTAAAGTCGGCCATGAGTTATTTGATCTTGTAATCCACTGCACTGCAAGTGAAATCCATGTTTTACAATGTAAGCAACTGGCAGAGTCACACATACCATATTTGTCAGATATACACGGTCCATGAATTATATCACTTTTATCTGTCAATAACTCTTGTTTATATAATGCGCTCGATAAATAATATTTACCAGAACGTTGTTCACAATACTGAAACCAGAGCAGACTACTGCTATGTTCTACACGCAGTTGCAACTGAGTAAACCCAGGATTTACAGCATCTACATGTATGTCCATTGAAAAATATGTTATGTTTTGATTAAAACAAGGTTTGACATCTCCATAAACTTCGACTGTTTTTAAAACATACATCATATCTAAATCACTCCCTCTCATGTCAAGTCCTTCCCCAAAACTTCCACTTGTAACTATTGTTATATTCTTGTTACACGACAAATTATCTCTGACCGTGTGTCATCATTCTGTTTTGTTAACATAATCTTCTCTTCCAACGATATTATGACAAAGATAACGATATAGTGCTATTGATATATTTCTTGTTATGTCGTCTGTCCAAAAAAACATCAAATAAGACTATAATTATTCAAATAAAAAAAAAAATCTTAAACTATAAAAGTTAGCACATCTAACATAAGCATCACGACTGGTGCCACATGTGGAGCAGGAGCTGCTTACACTTCCGGAGCACATGAGATCACCCCAGTTTATGGTTGGGTTCGTATTGCTCAGTCTTTAGTTTTCTATGTTGTGTTTTGTGTATTGGTATTTGTCTGTTGGTCTTTTTCTTTTTTGAGCCATGGAGTTATCAGTTTATTTTTGGATCATAAGTTTGAATGTCCCTTTGGTATATTTAGCATCTCTTTAACACAAAAGATGTAAGCGGCATATTCATGGCATAGATTCCCCAAAAAAAGAGTAGTTAATGGGCAAATGATGGATGACATTTTTAAAATACATTGTGGTAGGTACAAAATCACAAAATTAGAGTCACGGAAGAGCTAGTGAAAATAGAACTTGTAATAAAGGGTAGCGGTAGATTCCCGATGTTTAAATCCCGTTAATGTATTTGAATATAAAATCCAAAGCAGAAAAAACTTAGGGAATCAAGTCTCTGGTTATGAACTTATAACCTCTTTTACAATTGTAGTAATTCGTCCTCATAACCGTAGTGAAGCGGTGTTTGAATTTGGAGCCCGATCATGTGTTCAATAAGTCCAATTATTGAGAACATTTGTAAAAGGCATACGATTGGGAAGAGGGCATGTTGTTACAGAGGGATACGGCTTTCTTTTAACTCTGCTTCGTGTGATACCAAATGAATCAATAAGGATGCACAATTAGTAGCCATTGAAATTCACAAACGATTTCACTCGACAAGTGTGTGTTGGTGATAAAAACGTCCAGCATTTTGATGAGTAAAGAAATAAGGAGACAGGATACACAGCCAAATTTCACTCACATGAATTTCACGTGAATTTCACTGAAACGAGCTTATACGTGAAACTCACGTTAAATCAGTTCTTGTGAGTTTCATGTGAATCTCATGTGATTTTTTTTCACGTGAAATTCACATGAATTTTGAAAGTAAAGCTATTCAAACAACATGTAATTTTTCAAAATTAATCAAAATCATGAAAACTACCAACTTTTTTTTAAAAGTTCACGTGAAATTCACATGAAAATTTACATGTGAGTTTCATGTATAAGCTTGTTTGAGGTGAATTTCACATGAATTTTTTCACGTGAATTTCACGCGAGATTCATGTGAAATTCATGCCTGTGCCTGTGCATGATTACAAATTATACAACTGTCTACTACGGACCACAGGCCAAAGCTGGTAAACACTAATAGATCACTTCACGTCAGACTTACTTATGAGCGCTCAACCATCCCTTAATTTGGGACAGTGGTGCAACGGCCCAACATAAGAACAAAATTCTTTTTGTTGGTAAAAAAAACAAAAACAAAACAAAACAAACTAACAAAAGACAAAAGTTATTGATCGGAGAGCACTCGCAGTTACTGAAAGCTAGTTCAAAGACAATTCCAACTAATAAATATACCGCGTTTTCCCAGACTCAGCTATCATCCAGTAAACACTATGGTCTACTGTGTATTTGTTGTTTGAATCAAAATATTTGTTCATGACAAACAAAAAACAATTTATCAGTAATATGAACCCCGAATGGATAGGTAAATACTGAGATTATTTTGGGTTCGTCTTTCGACATTGTCATATTTGCAATACTATTCTGATGTCTTTGAAGTACTATTTTTGGTCCATTTTTAATATTTCCGGGTCATTTGATCATAAGCCAACATGTGTGGTCTGCTGTTTCTTAAATTTTAACAGGCCGACTGATAAAAAAGATCTTAACCACCATATTTTGTTTTGTTTTTTTCCTGTGGTTTTACGACAAACTTTTGTTAACAAATATTGTCATTTCAAAATTTTCATTATCCTTTGGATTATTTTGTAGTGGCTTCATACAGAAAATTTAAGACTCATTTTTTGGCAATCATAATCCTCTTCGGAGTTAAATATATTTCGTTGTAGAAATAGAATACCTAAATTAACATCTTCCTGTATACAGCATTAAAATCGCACCAACTATGACAGATCAGTGTATTTTAGACAACTATCGATTGACCTTACTGAATCTGATGTTCTTGAAATACGAGTTCCGTCAAAACTTTAAACACGATTAGTAAGTGCTATGTTAGCATATGTTGGCTATTAAACCAGATTTAACCCGCCATTTTCTTCGGAAAACGTCTGTACCTAGTATGAATATTGCAGTTGTTCTTCACGTGTTCCGTTGATTGATAGCTTTTGATTTTGTCAGTTTTATGGGCTTCCACTTTTTGAATTTGCCTTGGAGTTCGGAATTTTTGTTATACTTTTTTTTCTAAAACAGGAATATATGAGATACAGATACGAAATATAAATTGCCCAAATTTTAGAATTATTAATTGCGTTTTAAAGAAAACCCCGGTAAATGCTAGAATGTCCATTTATTTTATTCGAAATTGTGGATGTCTACGGTGAATAACTTAATACACAATCCATTGACTTTCGTTTTCAATGTAAACGTCTCTACTTTTATTCATCAAATGTGTCAATGTGCTGACCCTTTGATTTCATTTTTTCATCTGAAAACACATACTAGTAACGTTAAGAGGAAAAACTGTTGATGACAATGGGTATTTTCAAATACATTTAAAAATGTATAGAATATAAACACGATAAAAAATTTTATCAAATAGTACACAATTATTGTGTACACGCAGGGTGAATAAAGTTTACTATCGTTATATTTCTTTATACGAATATTTTTATAAAGTGTGTATGGTAAACAAAATAATAAAATCAAATAATAAGAAGAAACAACACTTTAAAAGTGGCTAATTACTAACAAATTTTCATGAAATTGATCGCAGTTTAGAAATAAGATCAGGTGAACTTTACAAGTTCTTAGAGATGAATGAACTTGTAAAATTCGTCCACTATTAAATGACAAACTGCATTTTTTCTTCATTATCAAGAGAGTGAAAATATAACAAATAATGCTATTGATTTTTGAAACTTATCAGTTAAAAACAAACTGACAATCCAATGGCAAAAAACAATAAATGACCAAAAGACAAACAACAGTACACAAAACACAAAGACTCAGCAACACGTACCCCACTAAAAACCGGTGGTGATCTCATGTGCTCCGGAAGGGTTAGTATATCCTGCTCCACATGTGGCACCCGTCGTATTTATCGTTAAGTTAGGACTTTCAGAATTGGTTCGAACAGTTTTTCAATGCAGTAAATTAAAGCAGTTCTCTGATCATAAGACAGTAAGCATGAATTTCTCTGTGAGCAAAATTTGAGATTTAAGGGTTTAAATGATAAAAGAATCTATTCATTTGTTTTAGCTCTATTTCAGACCAGCAATCATCGAAAGGTTAAAGAACACTTAAAAACTGTACACTTTAACAATAGGTAATACATGTTCATGTATATACCACAATATATGGTTTATATAAGCATTGATAAACAACACACGACTTGACATGTGCTCCTGTCTTATAAATGATTCCAGAATTAGGAAACGTGACATTTGAACAAATATTACTCGTCATAATGAAGTTGTTGATTTCACTTGTAAGTATTCCTAAGTATTTTATATCTAAAGTCGGTGGTCAATATCCAAACGACAAAATTGATTTTTAATGTTTGGTAAAAGGTTAGTTCAACAGAGTGTATGAAAAAGGGTGATCATCATTGACGGTGTCGCTTGTATAAGCAGGTACGATTAAATGAAATCTCCATAAAGGTTACATATGGACTACTACGGGGGTGTTTAACGTTTCTAAATACCAATGAAGGTGTCGCATAGTCGACGCACAAAACTTGAAATGCCAGCGTACCATGGACCACCTTTTGCGACATAACAAGTTATAAAAATATTACCAGTAATCGTTGATGTTAGACTTATCATAATAATTATTACAATAAACTTGACCTTATCCGTAAATAAGTGATATGCCCGTTCGTTCCATTGATTGGTAAGATTTACCTTTTGATGTTGTCGGGATTTGGGGGACTTCCCCCTTTTTCAATTTGCCTTGAAGTCCGAATCTTTTGTTAATAGATATAAGAAGATGTGGTATGAACGCCAATGAGACAACTCTCCATCCAAGTCAAAATTTACAAAAGTAAACCATTATAGGTCACAGTATGGTCTTCAACACGGAACCTTGGCTCACACCGAACAGTAAGCTATAAAGGGCCCCAAAAATTACTAGTGTAAAACCATTCAAACGGGAAAACCAACGGTCTAATCTATATAAAAAACGAGAAACGAGAAACACTTATGAACCACATCAACAAACGACAACTACTGAACATCAGATTCATACTTTTTTTTATCGTCTAGGACGAGAAACATTAATGCCATGTTTTTATGACTGCATGAATTAACTATTGGCTCTTAGTACCAGTTGAAGGTTATTCCATAATAATGTCATGCGCAAATACATCGATTTACATATATTTGTTTTAACTTCTTGTTCACTTACGTAACTTCTTTAAATTTTTTATCACAGTGTCTCTTCTGTGTCAATGCCGACGCATTCTTTATAGACCAGCTATTTAGCAACGGTTGCAAATCACCATCACCAGCACAAAACTTTACTAACCAGCGATACAATGGACTATGGTATGAAGTTGGTAAGATGCAGACAGCTGGCGGGGCTGCGTTTGAAAAAGACTGTGTGTGTACTACAATTGATATAAAACCAAAATCGGGAACAAGTGATTATACTGCCATCAATAGCTGTAGAAAATTATCTCCAACAGGGAATTTCTTAAATGCAACAGGTTGGTTTTGGTTCCAACATTCCTCTAGTTTGTGCATACACGTACATGATCGTAAATGTTTAAAATTATATGGTCTAGATGAAAATGAAGATATATAAAAAGCATCAACAAACAAGTAAAAAAAACCAAATTTCCTGAAACGGAATTTCACCGCTTGTTTTTCAATAATGGGAGTAAACTCTTTGTGATTATTAAATGAAATGTTGTCTTTGTTTGTTTGTATAATTCAGCGGCACATGGAAGAGTTGATATGAAATGATCGTATATTCAAATCTCTCTCTCTCTCTCTCTCTCTCTCTCTCTCTCTCTCTCTCAGCCAACATCGACGCACAATCGTATATTATATGAATTTTATTCTATCGACATACTATATACTTATAAAGCCTCTCTCGCGCTCTCTCTCTCTCTATCGTCAAATAAAAAACAGATATTAACTAAGAAATTATATAAGGAAACTTCACATAAAACGCTAAAGACCTACCAAAACAAACCCCACTAAAAACTGGTGGTGTTAGGCTTGTTCATGTCATCCTCATGTGTGCGAGTTTCAAGATGCTACTAGAACTTTGAAATCAAGTATGGAAACATCAGTCAAATTATGGGTATGAAACATAATGCTAAAATTAGAAAAAAAAATTAAATGCAACACTGCATTGCGTAATATCTTTCCGATGCTTATACAATTGCTCTTTATGGTTTTACTTTATGGTTGATTTTTTTTAATTTGCAGGTACATTGACGGGAGAGGGTCCATCTGGTCACTGGAAAGAGGGATTTTTCCCCCTCGCCCCAAAAGTAAGTTAAACGACAATCATTTATTGTTAAAGAAATGGGAGGGACATGGTATTTTTGATTATAATTATATATATATATTTCATATTAAAGCAACTTACAGAAGGAGTCATGATAAGTACGGCCAATTGCCCACACACAGGGTTAAAATCTTAAATATTTGTCAAGAAATTGAGTCGACAGCAAAAGCATTTACTATTTGTCATCAATTCTACATATTAACATACCGTCAAAGTTTGAGTACTTTATGTTTTGCTATTGATAGAATTTTGAAAAAATCAAATTTTATATGTTTTGTACAATTCTGCATTAAAGAGCGCCGTTAACAAAAAAGAAATAATATTATGTCCGAAAGACAATATATACATATAGCTATTCTACCAACAGAATTCTGCTTTTGGTAAGAGATGATCTTTTTATATTTGAAGTAAAATACTCAAAATTGCCTAATTGGTCACACAAATTGCGATTTTGGGCTGTTTTCATGTTTCATAATTTGATGATCTGTTAGCCTATATTATTCTTAGAAACGTAAAGTACACACATAGAGCTATGGTACCATGAATGTAGATAATGAACGAACGACATTTTGAAAATGTCCCTGGGGTGAAATAAATACAGGAGAAATTGTCCCTAACTCTTTATACAGTGTAATGCATCAATTTACTTTAATGTTGATTTACAAAAGTATTTTGAAGAACAAATATTTTCACCACATCAATTTTCTCTACTTTTCCCACAACAAAACGTTTTTTTTTTTCGTGTCCCTTATATTCGTAACAAATAAAACGTTTAGTTATTTATTTTTGTATTCAAATGTGTCTATTTATTTTGTTGTTTGCTGATCATGAACCGAATAAAACATTTATCACTGGACGTTAAGCAACAAACAACCAATCAATGTATTTGTTTGCGTTTACATGAACTATTCCGTTACTTATACAAGACTTTTCTTTCAATTTGTAGGCTGACTACACTATAATATACCTTGACGACAACTATGCAATTGAGTATGACTGTACGTCAGTGATTGGAATTACAAACTATTGTATACACATTCTGTCCAGAACACCAACAGCCCAAGCTGACATGGTCCAAAAGCTAAAGACATTCGCTATAGGACTAGGTTTAAATACTGAGAATTTGGACTATCAAGAAACATTACAAAAGGGATGTTGGTAGAGTTTTAGACGTATTCGTATTTTGTCCTTTGAATAAATGTATCATTCTTTACCATTGTTTAATTTTTACACGATAAATAAATCATTAAACAAGCATGTATATGTCTTTCTCAATCACCTAAGTAAGAACGGTCCAATGATAAAAAAATTAAGGATAGTCGCTACAGTTTTATTCTTGACCAAAAGTTTATAAATCACGTCATCAAGAACTGTTTAAGATAGACAAGAACACGCCTCAACATCGTTCAAGACCGAGAATTTAGAAATGTTTTGGAGAAAATAAAAAATGTTCGTACACTATCGATAACGAATTGGAAATACTGTTTACAGGTAAATATGCCATTTGACCTGTTGTACATCTTGGCTAGCGAAGATGCCTGTTGTACTAATTGATGCAAACAGAAGAAATCGAATAGAAAAAACATTTCATTCGTATTTCAATTTAAAAAAAAAAGAGATAATCGCATATCACACATCGAAAATAATTAGATGTTTGATATAGATCACGTGCTTTCAGTAGTCATTTCAATTCTGTTGACAGCCATGACTTTTCGAGTCTCTGCACTACAAATCACATAATCTTCAAAATTTAACTACAAGGTTATTCAATGCTGCAAAGGAAATAAAACTATGTGTTATGTAATTAAGACGGTGCACATGCTAGATCGGGGCAGCCCCGATATTCCGACACCCCATTAGTCCGACACCCTATTGGTCCGACACCCCAATAGTCCGACACCCTATTAGTCCGACATCCCAATAGTCCGACACCCTATTGGTTTGACACCCAATAGTTCGACATTCCATTAGTCTTACATCGAAATGTTTTTTAAAAAATGTATTTATTTTTATATTATATAGAATGCCTAATAAAAGGTTCGTTCAATATGAAGAAGAGGACACTGTCCTTCGTGGGAACAGGTGATGCAACCTTGGTTAATGTATTAGTACTCAAGTAGCAGAATTTCGTCACCACTAACTAAAAGCACAAACTACATTGTTAACGTTAAGTCTTGGCGAACTGCTTAAATACCTCTCGATACAGTATCTCAGAGATACAGGTTAAACATGACGCAGTAAGAAAATAAAGGAACCAATGAAGCTTTGCTGCGTACAACATTATATGTGTGAATATGGCTTGAGTGAATAAGACGGTCACGTTTTTCTGATACATGTATACCGGTAACTCTAGTGACAAAAAGTAATAACGGTGCTGTAACTCAACTAAAACTTATAATCTAATATTTTTTTTTAAAAGGGGAGCTAAAATGTAACAGTATAATGCCATTAGTTGAAGAGGAACACCAGTTTAGTTTGTATATATGGGCACCGATATTTAAGAAAGAGTGAAATTAGGGCAGAACACTTGTGTTGAAGTGTTCTGTTGTAATTTCGCTCTTTTTCAAATAGTGGGTAAACTGGTTCAATGATTATCTTTCTTCCAAATAATACTCTTCAGTTTTTGAAGCCTTCGCCGCACAGGGACTCCGTATGCAGATGAACCTTTTTATGCCCCTTCCGTTAGTCGAAGGGGGCATTAAGTGTTACCCTTGTCCATCCGTTCGTCCGTCCGTCTGTACGTATGTACGTCTGTACGTCTGTACGTCCGTCCCAAAATTGGTTTCCGTTCTCTAACTTTAGGTAGCAATGCAGTTAGGATTTTAGTTTCGCATTTTGGCCATAGTGAATCTTTTTAATAAGAAAGTGTTTGTGCAAAAAAAATGATTTTTAGAGAGCTGAAAAATAATATAGCCTTCAAAGTGGGTTTATATGAACATCAAAATTGTTTTTTGCATCTTTTATAGGCTATTTTTCTGTTTGACAGTCTGCATTTTGAATTCCGTACCGCCCATAGGTCCAGAAATTATTGTAGTGTTTTTCAACAAATATTTGACCCTCGAACTTTTCAGTTTAATTTTATGGAAAAATGAGGTGAAGTGCATATGATTTTTTTGGGACCTCTTGATAGATAAATATCAATGGTTTCAGAATAAGTATCACTCTAATGGATTGAAATTCTTCATTGGACCAAATTTTTGGGACTTTTGTGACATTTTCACCCCCCCCCCCCCCCCCCCCCCCCACCCCCCTTTTTTGCAATATTTTGTATCAAATAAATGCAGACTATTGCCATGGTTACACTAAAAAGAGATAATGCTTCACAATTTTAACATTGAATTGGAAATCAAATCTATGGAAGATGCTGTTTCCATACATATGCACATACATAATACAAACAGTAAGCCTTATTTGTTAGAAAGCAAGGGAAAGAGGGTGGTTAAAAATTAAGAGTGTCAATTTAAAGTTTTTTTCCTAACTGTGTATTGCTTCCTTAGTTTGCCTTAACCAAATGTTATGAAACTTATACCTAATGCTTATTTCCATAAAACACAGATCAAGTTCTAATTAGGGTGACGTCACTTTTACAGTTCTCTAGTTATGTCCTTTTATAACATTATATGCAAGCGGGGGCATCATCTGTGTCCAATGGACACATTCTCCATTTATTTTAATCAGGCATCAATATTTTGTAGTTTTCTAGCAATGTGCAGTTTACTATCCACATCAGTATACTGAAAAACCCTAAAGGCATCTAAGTTGCCATTTTTAATAGCCTACCTTTCTTAAATGAAAAATAATTAAAAATGTTTTTTATATGACTGTATACCTTATAAAGGCATTCACTTCCTTCCTAAATGATTCGTCGATCAGAAGCAGCATATGTTGATTTCCTGATCAACGACTACCTTACTCAGCTATCGTTTCAATTGGGTCAAAAATTTCTTATTTCCCGGCAAAAGCAACGTAGCTGGAAACATGTCGTTTTTCAACAACATAGACTCAATGGGAGATACATCATTAAATCCAGTGGCAAATATGTCTGCATGTTCAGGATAAAAACTAATTAACAATAAGTCCATTTATAGGGGTCGACCAGAATAATGAGCGGTAATATGAAGCAGTTATACTCACTGTAAGTCAATTCTGACGGCAAATGCCATCCGTTTAAATTGAGTTTAACAACCGTAATAAAGCATTCAATAAAGAACCAAATATAATCGATTGTTCAATTTTACTATGGATATTTTTTTATAAAGTTTTTGATTTTTAAATTCAAGTTCGGTGGAGGTGGAAACCAACATGCTTGGATAAAATTAGTTATTTTTTGTTTGTTAATGAAATCTTTTTAGTTTGACATTTTCGGAGAATATATTGCAGTCTGGACATTTTCTTTACGTCTAGAGACTGTTCTTTAAAATTCCAAATTCTCTTCACCCAAGGATGACTGGGGTATAAAAATATGTTAACTTTTGCTTTTTTTTCGATAAAGTAAACCCCTTGCCAAGTGGTGCGTCCTTTGGTTAATATGCTGGATGTATGAATACGCAGCCACGTTCGAAACTTTGTTATAAACAATGCTATAATATCTGTTCCTTTTGGAACACATATTATATATACCTTTTATTTCGTCAGGAACAAGTAATATTTTTTTCCAGTGGAAATTCTATTCCATATTTAGAACATATATTCAGAGGAACATCTATTCCATGACAGTCTGTTGCCAGGACAAATTTCTATGCCTTTCCAATATACCTTCAATTTCCCGTGGCAGTCCAAATTTTCCGCCCTCAATCCCGGTTGATTCCTTATTACAGGACATATCTTTTGTATTAATTGTTAATTTGTTTTCGTCCTTAACATGCATGAATTATTTGACACTTGACGTACAGAAAACAGCAATCAATCAATCAAATTCCTTTTTTAGCGTAGGGTTTTTTTTATGAAAGAGCTAGGTCACACTTTGTATTTGTAAAGCAAAATATTGCAAGGTTGTCGATTGCCTTATATTTATAGGATAATGGTATTTCTTACATACATGTACCAGTTGGGAAATGCTGTCTTTTCCATTTCTTTGTATGAAGTAGATTTTCAATTACAGCGTGTGTCGGACTATTGGGGTGTCGGACTATTGGGGTGTCGGACCAATGGGGTGTCGGACTAATGGGATGTCGGACCAATGGGGTGTCGGACTATTGGGGGTGTCGGACTAATGAGGTGTCGGAATAGCGGGGCGACATAGACATATTTTAGTTAGCTCCTCACCTCTTTCAGTACTTATACCTTCTTGGTTTCCAAATATTCAGCTTTGAGCGTTCCTGATGAAAGGTAAATCCAAATAAGTGCTTCGGACGCATAAAAATGAATACCATGTTATTTTCTATATTTTACTGGAACTGAAACGACGTGTAAAAGCTATAATTTTGTTTCAATACACGTTTAGGCAATAAAGCTTATCCCAATATTATCATAGATTTTCCTATGCGCAAAACACAGTGTATGACCAAACTTAATAGGGATTTGTTTAAACTGGATATAATTATTGCTGTGCTAACACAGCCTCAGCACGGAGGGATTCTATTAAGAATTATTTTGGAGGCATAACATGTCTTGAAATCTTAATTACGGTTTGATAAATGTTAAATATAATAGGGGGATGAAACCTTAGAAATACATACTTTATTTTTAAATTTCATTAATTAATTAGACTTTTTATCATGCATGCATGTCGCTCGTGTCATGTGATTCCACAGTCGTATTCGGGGCAGACCGTCACGAAATAGCTAATAGTGCTGGAAGTGGTACTTAACACAAATCAACCAACCAATCAACCAAAGTCATATTCATGAATGAGTGAAAACGGCAAAGAATATGAAAAAAAGTTGCTTTAATTTAAAAGAAAAAGTAAAAAGAAATGCAACACGTGAACCGGATTTTCTGTTCAAAGGACATTTTCAGCAGTTGTTTTAGGTATCTGTGGGTGGTTTTATGAAATGCAAACGTTCTGTTCCTTTTCTACATATCTTCTTTTTCTAGTTGTTGTTCATATTCCTTGCCTTTTATCCCGGTCGAACAACCATGCCTGGTCTTCTATTCAATGTATTGACTAATTTGTTCTCGTCCTGAAAATGCATCACACAGTAATGTTGCCACTAGATGGTAACCAATCAACAACCTATCAAATCTCATATATTCGATAGATGCTTACTATGCAATTTAGTTATATGTTAGAAGGTACTAGTAGTAAACGGTTCTAACATTACCTCGACCCCGGTGATTGCTATGCACGGATTGGCCTAAACATACATATACTTTTATTCATAATCGCATGTGGTACCGTGCTCGCTTCTAGCGCTTGCTGTAGCTATTTCATTTCCCGACAGGATAAACACAAGAATTTAAAAATTGCTAACTATTGCTTCTCTAACAAACACGTGACATATTGTGGGCCGAACAAAGGTTTGCTCGGAGTCAAAATAAGTGGTATGAGTATGGAAAAATGTCTCTGGTGACCAAGCACGTTAAAAATCCTCCCAGCGTGTTGGTATAGTGGTAGGCAGGATAAATTCTTATATCGTTAATATATCTTTTCCCGAATATTCATGACAATTTAGCCGCTGGAAGTTACGCAGCCACATATAAATCAATCAATAAATCTTCAATAAAGATATTTAAGTTTTTAGCAATTATTTTTTTTTTGTTCTGTATATACAGACATACATTCTGAAAATGAATCTAAATTATAAACAAGTGTTATATATATATATGTCTTCATTAATCTAGAACCAATAAAACGCGCTGTTGTCGATTAATCATAAGTACACATCAATTTATTCCGAAATGTGCAATAAATAAAACAAAACTATCCTTATGCTTTTTGTAATTTCGATCATTTGGTGATGATGGCAGATCTTCGATAGTATCGGTTAAATAGATTCACAGCTTCTTTTAGGCTCGGGTCGATTTTCTATATATATGATATATTGTAAAGACTGCTACCTATTGTTAAAGACTGTTGGTTGAACTCGAGTTATGATAATCGTTTGGCTATTTGTGTCTTTGGATTTCTGTTTCATTGACATGCATACCCCATCTCCTTTTATTTGTAACAGTGTTTAAAATGTTGTTCGTATATTGTGATACTATTAACGGTACAAAGTTTAATGCACAAGATCTGCATTACGACAAGTAATGTCTCTTTAGTGATGCTAGAGGTCAAAATATTTAGAATAAAAAGTCATACGTTGAAGAGCTGATAAAACCAAACAGGATCAAAATAAAGCCAAACCCAGTCAACTGGTTAGTGAGCATAAATGCATAGATGTGGGGTGAATGTATTCAATCGTAAACAGCTATCTTAAACTATCGGAACATGGATTGTATATGATATTTCGAAGTAACTTCACCTTTAAATCTGTTTTACGTCATAAAGAAACCGAAAACTCACAAACAAATTGTATAATTGGCATCAAAAGCTATATTAAAACCAGATAAAACTAATATCTTTTAGTTTTGAATTTTTCCGAAGACATCAATTATGATCCTTTTCATAAAGTAATTTTGTAATCTGAATTGTTTTTAAATCATATATTTGCATGAGTTTCAGATTGGTAAAAACTGGTTTGCCACAATACAGACTGAGTACTAAAGTGTCCAATAAGATGTAACAAAATAAAATACAGTAAGTTTATCGTTTTAGCAAAATGTTATTCCAAGATTTATTGCTGACTTGGACTACTAGAACATGGTTAGAAAACGTCCCAAATATGAATCAATTAAAAGTTATAGTATATATAAGTTATGTATAATTATAAGAACAAAATTATAAATGTAACGGAGAACAAAACAGGGTATTACTAAGTAACTTCTCGATCTTCAGTTAGTGTTACTACTTTAGAAATGGTAAAAGCATAAACTAGGGAGAGGCGGGTGGCAATTAAAAACCATAGTCGATATAAGACAGGCAACACGACTTAGGAAAATATGTCTACAAAACACTTCACTAAAAAGAAAGATTGGAAACCTCGAACCGCACAAACTCGGAGTACCACTAAGAGCCAAAAAACGGAGTAGCACGAACTGCATAGAAAAAACACTGCGGGTAAACAATGGTAGGGTGTTACATAATAGCGGAAATAAAGACTGTTACAGATAACTCTGCAGGCACAATCTAAGATTGAATCTCGTATTAAGTAAATGTTAATTAAGCGTACAAAGTAACACGTGCTAGGACTACTCAATATAATAGCTAGTACTAATAAAGTCATAATACAAATTTTACTAAGTGCGCAGACACCTTTATACGTAGTTGCTACAACTGATGAAATCATTGCACACTACACATTATTCTAACTAGGGGACGACCATTTGATTCTTCGTAAGAGGGACTATGAATTTTACCTGTTGCTCTGCTGCCTTTTGTACACAGTTATTTCCTACATATAGTTGGGATGAATATTCATTTTCATTTTGTTTAGGACATATTTAGTTCATAACAGCCTAGGAATTTCATTTAAAAAATCTCCCATTCCCTTGAAATTAAATGGTGGTTCCCTTATTATTTTTTTTTTTAATATTTTCAGCAAAACAGAAATCTTGAATACTTTTTTATTGCCAAGACATGGTCTTCCGACGTGATCGTTTTCTAGCTCATTCGAAATAAAATTTGTCAACATTGACCCGGAACTCTTTCTTATCTGTCTATAAAGTTTACGCAATCTCAAGTAGGTAGGATAAGCCACGTTTGAACAACTTAGGTAGATACCGAAATGGAGATCTTTAGATCCGTCCTAATTATATTTGGTAAGTATATTTCTGTAACTGTGTTTTTTCTTAAAAAATATTTCTGGTAAAAACAAAAATTAATAACGATTGGTACTTCTGTATTTGTTTTCTTTTCATATATATTCCTTCAATGGTAAAGGGAAGTTCAGGAAACTATTTTACCTGAAGGGACATACTCGCTTAGAATATATATATCGCTTCTATATAAAGACACATTTTTCATTTCCTATTGTTAATTATCCACTTTTAGATGATGACGTTCCCTTGTCACCATATTTTGGTGTTTATAAATCTCATGAATGACATTTGTTTCCGGTTTAGATGTATGTTTTTTGACATTTGATTCACTGATTGATTATTGGGCACATAACGTCAAGTGGCAAATATTACATGCATCATATTAACAAAAAAATGCTTACAATGAGGTGCTGCAATGTGGTTCGACCGATATGAAGGGCGGGCATTTCAACAGTCATTCAGGGACTTTGCGGTATGGGCTTTGCTCATTGTTGAAGGCCGTACGGTGACCTATAGTTGTTAATTTCTGTGTCATTTGGTCTCTTGTGGAGAGTTGTCTCATTGGCAATCATACCACATCTTCTTTTTTATATTCAAGTAAAAAGGGTATGTTGGATAGTTGAAGATATTTTGCCTTTCATCAGCTCACCACTTATATGAAACCCCCCAATGAGTTGACGTGAAGAGAGCGTATCACTCTCTGCAGAAAACGTCGGATTCAATGTCATCATTTCGGGCATGACTGCGTATTTATACATCCGACACAACAAAACGCACTTCAATCTTTAACATGGCTTCAACTGCTGTACCGGAGAAGTCCGTAAATCGTTATAACTCTATTTTCCTACCCCAGTAAACCCTTGTGGTTTTTTTCATTAGGGAATCAGCAATCATTCTGTATTCGTATTGTAGTTTTTTTTTGTTATGAATCGTTGAAAATATTTGATTGATATTCTTGCGAATATTTGCCAGGTCCGTCTTTGAATTATAAAATTAAAATAAGGGTCTCATTATAAATTGTTAATGTAAAATCGAGAATGGAAATGGAGAATGTGTAGAAGAGACAACAATCCGACCAAAGAGTAGAAAACAGCCGACGGCCACCAAAGGGTCTTCAAAACAGCGAGTAAATCCCGCACCTGGAGGCGGGCTTCAGCTGGCCCCTAAACAAAATGTGTACTAGTTCAATGAAAATGGACGTCACACTAAACTCTAAAACATATAAATTAACTAAAATTAAAAAACATACAAGACTAACAAAGGCCAGAGGCTCCTGAGTTGGGACAGGCGCAAAAATGCGGTGGGGTTAAACATGTTTTGTGAAATCTCAACCCTCCCCCTATACCTCTAGCCAAAGTAGAATAAACAAACACACAGTAATACGCACAGTAATACTCAGTTTAAAAGAAGTCCGAGTCCGATGTCAGAAAAGGTAACTATAGAAACTAAGCAAAATGACAATGATACATAGATTAACAAGGGACTACTAGCAGTTACTGACATGCCAGCTCCAGACCTCAATTAAACTGATTGAAAGATTATGTCTTCATCATATGGAAATCAAGCACAATCCCTCCCGTTAGAGGTTTAGTATCATACCGTCATAAAATATATGAGAAGAACATAACCCGTATCATGCCAACAACTGACTCTAATGCATTAAATTAGTAATTATATTGGACTGCATTAATGTTGTACAAGATTTTCATAATATTTTACAATTAAATTGAACATGTTGGACTTAAACTAAAATTTTTAAAAAATATGATATATACATGTAATTATTATAACTGTTTTTTTTCTCTTCTTAAATGTATGATTGAATACAGGGGGAGGTATGCTAGGAGCCATAATGGGGACCCTGAAAATAAAACAAATAATAAAATTATTTTAGCATTACAAAATTATTAATTTTATTCATGATTGAACAAGATGATATCATATGGACACTTTAGTGCAGAAAGGTCACTTCTGGTATAGCTTTGACGTCATAGAAATTTATATATTCAACCTAAAATTGCCATTTTACACACAGTTTTGTGTTTTCAACTTAAATAGTTATATGCCCAGGACTTAACCAAACGAGATATTGTACAACAATTTGTCTATTGTAAAATATTTTTGGGACAAAAACATTCTTATTTAGAAAAGTCTTTGGTTATATTGAAATATAAATGGCAAGATCTCAAAATGAGGTTATTTTTGGCAATTTTTTTAAAAAATTTGTACAAAATTCAAGACGTTTGATACTCTTCTCTAAATATGTTAGATAAAACTAAACAAAAATAAATATCAATACTTATGATTGAAATTCTACTTTTTTTTTAAGAACACCTGAAGTATTTTATTTGGCAGATTTAAAATTGAAAAACATATCCGCATTCAGGCGGCGAAACAAGTGTCCTCGTTATATCATAAACGATATTTATGTGATGGTATTTAATAAATTAAAAAGATAAAGACATTACTTTTTTTATTTCAAATTAAAAAGTTTAACATGATGTATATTGATGCAAATCTTATTCAAAATGTGAAATCATTAGTCACCTTTATAGGAAGGTGTGATGGGGTTTACAGAATAGAGAAAATGGACAAAAAAAATAAAGAATAGAGAATAATGAGGTGCTAAAATATAAAGAATAGGGAATGTTAGGGGTGGGGTGGTGGCTAAAATATAAAGAATAACCACAAAAATTAAAGAATTGGGTAAAAATATACTGATAACTGAAATGAAGGACCCCCATCCATACCCCCCAATAGGTTAGCCATAAAATGTGAAATTATAGGACTAACGGTTTTACCAGATGTCTATGTATACACATATAAACTTAACACGATCTAGACCAACAATATCTTACAAAACGCAGTCTTATCTATATGTTAACTACGTGTATTAAGATTTGGAAATTGATAAAAGATACAATTGTCTGGTTTTCAATGATATTAAATTTTATGGAACAAATTAAGGTCATAAATTAGAACATCTTTATTCATTTCTTTTAAAACCAAATCGAATTGATTCAGATTGTAAACTGACTTGTATCAACTTGAAGTACTACCAAATATTTAATTGGTGCAATAATGAATGCTTTTCTGAATTTTTTTTCTATTAATTCAATATTCCAAAATGTGACGGTCTTTGAATTATCTTCTATACTTGTTCCTATGTTCCTATATATATATATATCTTTGATTATTCGACAGATTGAAATAAAACAATGGAACGGTTAAATACTAAAAGAAACTATGTATCCCCCCACCCTTTTACTCTTTTACATATAAATGTGTCTGTCACAAGCCTGGAACCTCGTTAGTTGTGGTATTGAGTTATAAATTAATACTGTTCATTGAAGGATCTTATTTGATTGAAGATCGATCTTTTTTGTATTCTCCCTTAAAGTCCATTCTATAAAGTTTGACATATGATATGGGCACCAACTATTGTTGATGACCGTATGTTGCTCTCAAGATTTTTCTTTCTTGCATTGCTGGATTGCTGTCTCGTTGACGTATATCCATGTATAGTAAAACAAATTACCGAAAAATAGAATATAACACAAACACAAACTCACAAGTGTCACCGTACAATTTATAATCTGAAAAATGAGGACTGACAAAATATTTCAACGATAAAATACATCACAAGAATATTGGGTTTACCGCACATCTGATATAGAAAGACAGAAAGACACATTTTTGTGATTTTATCCTTTTTCAGTCACTTTCAAATTTTGATTAAAATATTACTCTTTTGCAAAAAAATATTGTGTTTTCATTCACAAATTTTATGGATTTAATTCTTAGATAACAAAAATATTAATAGATGGTTAGATATAAGATAGTAATGTCTAAATATCGCACTATAAAGTGTGCCTTAGTAATAGAATCACATTCATAACAGTGTGGACGAGACCATTCGTTGGAGCGCTCAATTCTCCAATTGACTGGATTAGATTAGGTAACCGTTTATCTGTTACGCCTACTTTATACGATGTTTTTACAAGTGACGTTTAAACGTACGGGGTCACCACAGGTCTCTCAACGCCCGAAAACATGTAACTCGAGAAAAAAAAATATACAGGCGTATTGATTAACATTGAATATTTTGACATTCTTCTCCGACAATCGATAGTCAAATTATTTATCATACCGCACGTTCTTTAAACATTAAAATAAAATTTCATTAGCGTCAATAGTAGTAATGAATGTTTAAGCAATAACTTTTTTCGGACTTAAAAGCGATTTTACAATTACAAATTAGTTGGTCCAACGTTCTACTGATTTAATTCATTGTGTGTGTGTGTGTGTGGGGGGGTGGGGGTGGGGGGGGGGGGGGGGGGGGCATTCGTTCGTTTCTTATGAACATACAGGAACAATATTTTTTAATCTCAGTGTCGTATTTCTTTTTATCCCCAATTCTTAATTGATATGAATTAGTTTTTTTTACCTTTTTTTTCTGAATGATTGAGGACCGCTTAAAAAAAGTATGTATCCTCCGAAACATAAATACATTCACCGGGTACATGTATCATTCATTGGCATACTAACGTTCCCGCTGATATAATTGTTTGATTGCATAATAAGCAATATTTATTGACTTAGAGAATTGACCAATCCATTAAATGGGTTGAAATGCATGATGGACTACTGCGTACTTTATCGAGAACACGCGTGTTTTTCAGTGACATACAATTCACTTTTTCTTCTTTTGTATCTACGTTAAATAAAGCATAAGTTGTATGCTCAGATTAGAATAAAAAAACTGTGCAATTTACCGACTAGTCCACTGAATGAGTTTCAATGCATGATGGAATACTATGTGTTTACAATTGTTTATAACTGCATGACATACAACACAAATTTTAACACAATGCAAAAAAAAAAAGAATTCATCTTTATACCTTTTCTTCATTTGTGTTCACATTTATTGCACAAAATAAAAATTGACATGTTTTACATCTAATATGAAACTGTCGAGTGTGATTATAAAAAGAATGTTTAAAACAAATTCCTTTTAAATTTTGTTGAAAGAATGTTTAATTTTATGTATCGAAAGGTGAAACATTTGTGAAACAAGCGATTATTTAAATCCCATCTGGAAGGCCTCTGACATTTTGCATTGCTATCGATAGCCGATGACAAACAAGTTAAAGGTAAATGATTCGGTATTATTAAAAACATAATCATTACGGTTGTCCACACTGTTATGGGACTACCTCTAGATCTATAATAATAATCTATATGTTATATTGTTTTCAAACAGGTTTGACATGTGTTCTGGCTGTCATACCAGAACCAGAAAATTATACAAAAGAAAAGGCCAAAGAGAGAGCAGAAAGGGCTGCCAGTATGTATGAACTTATTATTTGTAAAACATAAACTTGATACTTCAAAATTGCACACAAATATAAATGCATCATAACCTTTCAAAGAAAATTCCTTATCGTTAGGGGTAAATATATACCTGTATAATTGAACTTGTTAGATGTCGACTGAGAACACACCGTCAAATGTAGAACATGTAGAACGGAACAGTCAAATAAAATACGGTTACGTGTTTAGTATGCCATATAAACGTTATATATGGAATACATTTACTATCACTACTGTCAAGTCAGTAAACGCTTATTACACTTCACCCAATTTCAAAAATTTCAAGTCCATTTTCATATATCAAAGTCAAGGCTTTCACTTTAAATACATTATGGAATTCCAAACGATTTTGCTTGCTTCAATACTGCGTTTGTGCGGATTATTCTCTATCTGTAATAGTTTTTTTTATCTCTATGCCGTAACAGAGGGTAAGCATGAGAAATGAAATGAAAAATATGATATTAAAAATTGAAGTTAAAAAAAAACTTTAATTTCAGCGATTGGTCCAACATGTTATAACTGTCAGAGTATTTCTGATCCTATGCAATGTTCATCAACAAAACAATGTGCAATAGACGAGGTAGGTCTAGTAACGTATATGTATACACAATGTTTTACTTCAACTACTGTCATGTAAAGTAGAGAAGTACTAATGAATTACAACATGTACTATAACTGCAATGTAGAGTAGGTATAAAATAGGTTACTGTAACTACTGCAACGTATCTACTGTACTGTGACTTTAATAACATATTCATACAAATAGTTTACTTCAACTACTGTCATATACTTATATGCTTATGTATCTGTGACTTTCATGTAAAGTAAGTATAAAAATGTTTCACTCTAACTACTGCAATGTATCTAAAGTATGTAAAGTGATGTGACTTGCGTGTAAAGGATATACTTATACAACTGTGTTACTGAATTACTGTCATGTAAAGTAGAGATGTACTTATAAATTACTGTGACTGCTATGTAAAGTAAGTATACATATGGGTTATTGCAAATATTTTAATATATCTAATACATCTGAAGTACCATGAATGCCATGTTAAGAACATAATTTTATAAATGTGTTAAAGAATTACTGTCGTGTAACATAGAGGTATTCTCATAAACTAGTTTGATTGATATGTAAAGTAAGTAGACCAATGTTTGACTTTAACTACTGCAATATATCTGAATTACCTTGAGTGTCATGTAAAGAACATACTTATAAAAATGTTTTACTGCAAATGCTGCCACATAACCTACATATATACTAATGTTGTTATTGACATTTACAGTACAACTATTGTACAAAGGACAAGGTCCTTTAAACAACAATCACGGTTCCGTATTTCGGCTAAAATACAAAGCGACTATTTAATACTACTAAGACGGCATTTTTCTTCCTAAATACTCCAGTTAACTTTGATTTAGGTTATTTTAATTTTTCTTTAATTCAAAATTTGCTAAGTTTTTATTGTTTTTTCTTATCACTGAAAACTTTCTGTTCTCATGTGGCATTTTTCAAAGATGAGTCTCTAACAGGGGCACATCCGATCATTCTGAAATAGAAAGCAATCCAATTAAATGTAGTTGCACTTATATTTATAAATGATCATCCAGTTGACAATATTTTAATGATTCAAAATACATCAAGTAATTCGTTTGATTTTGAAAATCAAATTTCATCCACCTAGCTTGAGTTGTGCAGTAAACGACGTCTTCGCCAATCAGGATGTCGCTTGAAAGCAATACAGGAATAACGTATTTTTAATTGGTCCATTTGGAAATGTGGATTGTAACTTATTATCTGTCGATTAAATGCCGACCTGTTTTTTACGCAGTTTCACTTGGAAAATCTCTGTAAAGCACAACTTAGTACTCAAATAGTTAATTGCATGCTAAACAACCAATTTTAAATTTTAAGATCAATTTAAATCTAACATGTCGCTTGATAGCATAATGACATTTTCATAATTTATCATTTTCCCTGCTAGCATGAACGACTTGTTACAGATTTCTCTTGCCTTAAGCAAAACCTAGGAGTAAGAACAGAAAGGCATCATTTTGGCCCTTCAAATTACGTTTCTTAAAATAATATGTAAACACTCTATGAACGACACTTTGCCACTGTTGAAAAAGAAAAATTGATAACAGATTACAAAATCATCTGAAAATCAAAACTTACGATTTAAGTCTTTTGCAAACGAACAGAATAAGCACAAACATCAGTATGAATGCAAGGATAATGCCAAAAGAGATGCCAAATATCCTCCATGGTGACTCTGTAATGGTAATGTTAAAATACGATGATTTTCTCGGTATATTTTTTCGGCATATTTATAGAAGCAAAGATAAATCTATGATTTAACCGTGTGTCAAAGACATTACTTTTCTGATTGTAGTTAATCAGCGTTGTTTGGTATTTGTACGACATTTTAATGTAGTATATTTCTAAACTGAGATTTATTAATTATCTTGCATTAAAAGATTACTTTTGTGTATCTTAGAAAACAATAATCATACGAAAGATGTTATTTATTAATCAAAGTAAATAGATTTTGTATTCCATCTAATTTAATGTATGCTAGTAGTTCCTAACATCTCTGGTGGATAGCAGTCTCGTTGGCAATTATACAATAGCTTAATTCATTTTTAACATGAATTTACTCCACACAACACGTGCAAGCTATCACATATCATGATTTGATATTTTGATACGCATTTAGTGCCATTCTGCCTAAGAATCGGGCAGTGGTTAATACATGACAAACACAAACCCAAGTTGACATTAATTTATGTTCAAAATGTATAAGGGTTCACGAATAGAACAACTATTTCCTTCTCCTATTCTGGTAATTCAAGATATAATTTGATTGAAATGCACTAGAAATAAACAATTAAGGGAAGCTAACTTCGTAATTTGCTATCATTCTCACCAAAAGTTATCTAGAGATTCATCGTATTACCAGACACGCAGAAATGAAAGACCTACCACTTCTAACTCAGAATGAAGATGATTTCAAAATAGGATGGTTAGGTCGGTGTGTTTTTTTTCGGCCATGATTTGATTTTTATTTTTCAAAATTGCCTGATTCTTATAAAGACTGGCACTTAAAACGTAGTTGTTATTTGCGCCTAACAATGGTACTCTTTTTTTAAACTGCGTTTCTTATCAAATAATCTGCCTTTTTTCGTACCTCAATGAAATAACAAAATAAAACATTTAGAATGAACAATGGTCACTTGCTTTTTTTTTAAATGTCAGACTGTTTTATCGTTATAAATATTAGTGCAATGAAAAGAAAATATTTCACCAGAAGCCTTAATGCAATGCTGATGCCAAAATTTATTTACATTAACTAAAATAACATAAACGGTACTAATGTTTCTGCACCAGATGCGCATTTCGACAATCAATGTCTCTTCAGTGATGCTCGAGGTCAAAATATTTGAAAATCCAAAGCTTATTAAAAAGATGAAGAGCTATAAGCCAAAAAGGACAAAAAAGTATATCCAAAGCCGGGCAGGGAATCAGATGTTGTGCATAAGTTTTTCTCGTTTCTCGTTTTTTATATAGGTTAGACCTTTGATTTTCCTGTTTGAATTGTTTTACACTAGTCATTTTTGGGGCCCTTTATAGCTTGCTGTTCGGTGTGGGCCAAGGCTCCGTGTTGAAGACCATACTTTGTTCTATAATTGTTTACTTTTCACGCATTGTGACTTGGACGGAGAGTTGTCTCATTGGCACTCATACCACATCTTCTTATTTCTACTTACTTATTTTAGTAGTGCTAAATAACTTTGGCAGAGTTTGTGTAGTATCTGTAGTTGCCATAGTGTTTTGATACTTCATGGTCGGTATAGTATGTTGTGTGTGTCGTCTTCCGGAGGAACCATCTGGATTTGTTGAACCAAGTATTGTCGTTACCATGTTTGCTGTGGTAGTCATGGGCGTTGTTGAAGTCATATATGTTGTCGTAATTGTAGGTTTTACAGTAGCCATTGATTTTTTAGTAAGCATGGTCGTGGTTATTCTCGTTGCTGCAATTTAAGACGTATGAAAAATATATGCATGAGTACTGTAAAATTACGTGTTACTGACGAATATGTATATGAAACTACTGCTCCTGACCAATTTCTCTGATGTAAAACAAGATTATAAAACTAAATGTAGAATTTGTTTCAAGTACTTGTAAGGATCTAATTGCAACCTACATGATTGTGTGTATTTAACTATCTCATGTTGCGACTGCGAGTCAAATAAGAAAGGAACTTTGAAGGTTTTGATACGATGCATAATTTTATTTCAAATTCTAACCATAGGGTATAGAATACCAGATGACATGTTAGGACATTTTGGGAACTTTAATTTATACATACATGATCGACCTTTATATTGACATCTGTCACCATGGTAACCAGTATTGCAGTAACAAGTTTTGTTAGATCCAACCATGCTGCAAATTCCTCCATTCTCACAGTATTTAGCCGGTGGACATGCATCTACAAATTAAAAAGCACCTATGTGTGTTTCTCTTTGTTATTTTTTTGTTTGCCTTTTTTTTGTTTTTGTTTACATAATTCTGTCATATCAAATAAAAATCCTATAGAAATACAAATCAAATTTGCGATACTCTTTTGTAGACATAAATTTGAAGGAAACCAGTTTTTGACACATGACAAATTATCCAGCATCTAGGAGTTCTCTTAATTACAAGGTCAACTGAATAGAATTTTGTAAATTGTACATATATGGTCATGTGTTTTGAAGTCAGGAGGGTCAGTCTGTTGCATGAATTTTGTGCTTTCTTTGATGCTTCTTTGTTATTTTTTTCTTTATATTACAGATTAAAGCACTTTTATATCAGAACTCATTAGTTTCTCTTGTCATATTTGCTTATTTATGTTAACAAAATGGGGAGTTAACATGTTTTGTTAAACATAATTCATACGCTATGAATGTAAACCTCATTTACCAATGAATAAACATTGCAAAAGCCAGGAAGATAAGCTTCCTTTAGTATTTTGATTGACCAATATCTTACCACAGTAGATACCAATATATCCCTTGTAGCATTTATATTTCCCAGATTCAAGGACACCATTCACACAACGTGGTGCGCAAGGTTCTCTTATTATCAAGTCTTCGTCTGGTATATTATAGAAATAGTTTTTACATTGACATATTTTTACGATTATGTCTTATATATTTTCACTGTAACCTTAACTAGATTACACTCTGAATATATGAGAGAGAGAGAGAGAGAGAGAGTCGTGTATCAATATACCATGTAGAACAAGACTCGAATCTATTTTCCTTTAAGTTTAAACTTAGATAAATTAACGAAGATTCATTTGTTCTAAATTTAGAACTGACACTGTAGTTCGGTTTCTACAAAATACATTCTCGCTATCCATTTATTTTAGTTATTACATTGTGGTTTTATAGACTGTGGATAGTTTATCCAGCAAATGGTTGTTCTTACGAGATTTAGTCCATCTAATTGCATACAACATGTGATACGTCCTTTCCCGGATGATTTAGATTAAAAATTTTATTAAATGAATGACTTATTCATTTAATAA